ACACACACACACACACACACACACACACACACACACACACGAAGCATGTTGTGTAAACTGTCCTGCCCCGTGTCTTTTAATGTCTCCTCATGATTATTCCAAGTCTTCCTCATTCTTTCTGGCTCAACAGCCCCTTAAAGTATTATGTTTGTTTGCGGTACTGGGGTTTGAACTCAGGGCCTCCTGTGACACCGCCATGAGCATGGGCATGGAGGGTCAGACTCTGAATCCAGTGACTACAACTCTCCATGATGCACAACTCACCTCTCCTTCCATACCTCCACCCATCTGCTTACCCGAGTGCTTCTCACGCCAGGCACCTGGGGCACTTGGCTTTTCTTTGCTCACTAGAACCTGGAGACACCACAGGTCTTGACCTACACTCAGGCAGTGTTCTCCTAGAGCAAGACAGCACTGAGACCACTGAGAATCAGGAAAGGATTGTGAATCCTACCTCCACACTGCAGGCGCTGCCTGTGCAAAGGCATGGAGTAGTAACTGTGGGCATGAGGAAGGTGAGAGCAGCAGAGGCACACGGTGTGTGCGTGGGGCACAGAGGCAAAGAGTGAAGAGGTAATAAGAAAATGGTGGCCTCACTGGACATGGTAGTGCATGCCTGTAATCCCAGCACTTGAGAGACTGAGGGAAGAGGGTTTTGAGTTTCAGACCAGCCTGGGCTACATAGTGAAATGGTCGCAAAACCAAACCAAAAAAACTGGTGGTCTCACGTGTCTCACTGAAGCTGGACCTGGGTTGGGACACTGGATGATGTGACACGTAAGAGTGGAGGTGGAGAAAGACGACTCTGCAGGCTGACTGGAGCTCAGAAGGGAGGGGGGAGACTAAGGGCAGCACGCCTGGGAGGCCAGAGCAGTGTGTGGCACGAGGGATGTACACTAAGGCAGTAGTAACGGGGATGGAAGGCTTCTGAAGTGACCCATAGGGTGTGGGGTGAGTGCAGGTTTCAGTGCACAGCTGTGGGAGTGGAACAATCACACCATTACCAAGATTTGAACTCTACGAAAGGGGTAAAGGGTCCCTGGTAGCAGAGTGTAGACAGACTGAATTCTCCTTGTGAGCAAAGACCAGTCAGAAACAAGTTTGGTTCCTAGTGCCCAGACACCCTCTCTGTAGCAACCATCCTGGTGGGATTAAGACCTTGGTCCAACACACATGGCTTCTAGGAATGAAATAGCACTTTTGGTTTGGGACTGCCAGCTCCCAGCTGTGTTCACAGCTTAGGCCCACGGCAGCTGTCACCATTACTCCAAACGGGCAGTGTGATGACAGGGCTGGTGGTGCTCAGGACTGCAGGGTGATGGGGAAAACCCACCTCAGCCCCCATCCCACCCTGCAAAGGGCCCAGACGGGAAGCTGGCCTTGCTGTTGCCAACTTCCCATTTCTGGCTCATCTCATTTCTAGAGTTTGAATACTCCTCAGTTAAAAACAAAAAGAAATTAGACTGGTCAACAACAAACCTTTACAAGAGTATTTTACAGTTTATAAATCTTTTGCATCAATCATCAATTTGACTCTCACATCCACCTTATAAGGAAGACAGTACATAGATCACAAGCTGCAACTTACTGCAGTTTCCCTGTGCAGCACTGCTTCCCACAGACCTCTGGGGTCCTCAGCCCAAGGGGCAGGCCCTGCGGAGATCCCCATAGGCTCTCTTGGGGAGAAGCAGCTCTTCTCCCCAGGATTCCAAAGTCCCATCAAGGAAAGGAGGGGGCAGGTGTGACTCAATTTTTATTTTAGGGACTTTGGTGGCAGTTTGTCATATCCCTCAGATCACACAACAGACACAATTTCAGGACCACCTTTCTCAGTCTCTGCGGACCCTGTGGAAGCAACAGGGCTCCTCACAGCCCAGCTTCCTTTTCTGACACTCAGCCCTTCCGCTGGAAAGGAAAGGAGAGCTGCCAAAGAACATGAAAGGCAAACTGATCCCTCCAGCCTCCTTGGGTAGGCAGTGGCTGGGAAACCCGTTTTGGCCCCAAGAGGAGTGGGGCAGCATAGGTTGTGTGCTGGGCAGAGATAACAACAGAGGAAGGGTGGGGTGGCAGAAGCCCTCCCCGAAGTGGGGCTTTCATGTAAACAATGAGTGGCTGCCCAGCCAGAGCAGGAGGTGATTCATCTCCCCTACTGTGTGGATCCGGCTGGCTGTGTTCAGGGACTGGTGCAGACTCCACCATGCACTCACACTTCACTCCCTGTGTGGGATGGGGATCTCACCCTAGACCTTTTCATAACAGGCCTGATTTCAAATGCCTAGGCATGTCCCAGAAGGAGTCTGGGGAGAGTGCAACTTTGCCTAGGAGAACAGAGGCCTACCTTCTGGCCTGAGAACTGGCTGAGGTCTCGTTTTGGGATCAGGGAAGTAGAACAGCAGTAACAGGGGTGCCTGGAATTCCACCTGCCCATGCCAAGAGGCATACACTGGGAATGACCACAGTGATTTCCTGGGCCACCCCACAGGAGCAGTGCCCAAGCTCCTGTCACCTCATTGTCCATCCTGAGGCAATAATCCTGACTAAGATGATGGAGGGGGTACTTGAGCTTCACATTGGCCTAAAAACTGACTGTGGGAGAGGCCACAGTTAATGCCAGGATGTAAGAACACAGCACTTTTAATTGGGCAAGACCCCAAGAAGTGTATGGACAGACCTTGTCCACTGCACTTTATGCTTCTGCTACAATGTCCTTCTGGTTGGAATGCCACACAGATACTCCTCTCAGGTGGCACCTGGGGAGCAGGCTTGAGTCCTGAAATATACAAAGTGACATCTCCCAGTGGGCAGGTCACTGGGCTGTGCAGTCCTGTCAAGTCCTGGAGTCACTGCTTGGCCTTTTTCACAATTGTGCCCACAGCAGAGATGACAGTGGTCTTGGAGCCACTGGCACTGGTGGTGACGGTGACAACAGCTGGCAGGGTGGCCGTGGTGGTGAGAATGGTGGGCTGCGCTATCGTCGTCACTGGGATGGCAGAGTCCCACTTGCTCTTTCTCTTTTGGGCATCTGGAGATAATGCACAAGAAAGAAGTCAGGTTCAAGACCATTGAAAGTTGAGCCCTTTCCCCACCGCAGGCCAGAGAGGGGTTTGGAATAGAAATGAAGGGGCCTGACCCAGGAAGCCTGAAGGTAGGCAGTCAATTGGGGCCCACCCCAGGCTCCAAAGCTGGTTCTCACACTCCAGACTTAGAGAAGAGCATGGCAAGGCTGAGCCTGGGCCTAGACCCTTTCCCAGACAAGCCCAGAAAGCCTTCACTCTGTAAGGTTGGCCCTGAAGCAGAGCAGAGCAGCGCTGGGATGAGCCACCTCTACCTGCTACAGCTGTGCTGGCGGTAGTAGTGGTAGTGGCTGTGGCATTGGTTGTGGTTCCTTTCTTGGTGCCCGTCACAAACTCAATCTGGAGAGGGAGAAAGAGGAGAATGAGACTAGTGCAAAGCTGTGTGTCCACTTCCTGTGCCATCTGTCTGCTCTCAGGGAACAGGAGTTTGGCACTATACAAAGGAGGCATTGAAAATCACCTTGACTAGGAGCATCTGGGGGAGGGAGAGGTGCCTGAGAAGAGCCTGAAGGGGCTTTTACCACTCTTCAAAGAGCTTTCCCAAAAGATGTGCGATCCCTCCCGGCATCACAGGATTTTGCGCATGCCCGGCACCCCCACCCACCACACCCCTCACATGCCCAGAACCGGCTGGCCAGGCCCCTCCTCCTCACACCCCAGAGGAGGTGGTGCCGCCCGCACAGGGGAAGGGCAGCTTCGGTCCCCAGGTGCTGCAGACACGTCCCTGCAATAAGCCTGGGGTTTGGAAGGGAGAGGGAAAGAGAGAGAAGGGAGATTCAATCAAGGGTTAAGAATGAGAAACCCAGATTATCCCCTTGCACCAGCTCCCACATTCCTGGCCTGCCAGCCAGGGCCTATGAAGGGCCACCAGGTCATGTGGTTCCCTACATCCCCTCTGACTGGGGGTGAGAGGAGTGTCCTGGGGGGGGTCACAGCTGCTGCAAGGAGGGTAAGGCCTAATCAGAATGCAAGGAACCAGTGTCCTGATGCCCCTCTTTCTTGGAGACTCTGGTCATGGCTGAGGCCGCCCAGAGCCTGCCTCATCAGGTAATGAAGAGCAGGGATGGAGGGGAGCCTGGGACTCCTGGGTTCAGCCAGCAGGACCACCTGCCTTTTTCATCTTGGAGGTCTGTTATCACTTACTTTGGTTCGCTCCTTTTTGGCCTTTTCCAATTTGTCCATTTCAATCTTCTGGGCCTTGGCTAGGGAGACAAGACAAGATGTGTTACAAGGTTGCCTAAAGCAGTTCGTAACTGAGAGAGCCTAGTTCCCCTCACTAGCCTGAACCCTGTGTTCTTTTTGGTGGACTAAAGGTCCTCGTGGTCTTAGCATTCTTTTGCACTAGACAAAATAAAGTGTTAGCCCTTGGTCAGAATGGAGCAAGAGCCTTGACTCAAGGGCTGGGGGCTATCTGGATGGGTTAGCCACCTCTGAGCTCCACTGGCTCCATGAGGACTACTTTCCTACTGACCAAGAAAAGCTATAATTATGGAATTTTATATAAAAAAAAACCTGGTAACTAATTCAAATTAAAATAAGACAAAAGCTGCTGGCTTGAGACCTGTGACTTAAAGGCTCAGACTCTGAAATTCCTCCCAGCACCCTCTGCCTGGCGCATTCTGCTTACCCCTGCCTGGCTCTTACACCTTGCCAAACCTTAGTTCCAACAGTTTTCTCAGCAGGGTGTTCCAAGCCCTCTGGCCAAGTTAGGTGACCCTGCTTGCCAACAGCTCTTCCCTCGATCCACAACTTCTCTCACCTTACTATTCATCAGTGTTGGAATTACTGGTTCAAACAATCTGTTTTCTTTGCTATGCTATGAGTCTAATAAGCCAGGGATGGAGTTTGTCTTATTCAAGACTGAATCGTCAGCCCCTTGGATATGGCCTGACACAGGAGATAATGAAATACGGATCATCTGGATCACTGAGTGACTGAGTGAGTTCATGAGTAGACGGAAGGTAGGTACGTTACCTAATGCCTCATAGTAGGAGTCCTCAGACCAGCCATGGGGGTCAAACATATCCTGAGAAAGAAAAGGTTAAGCTGCAGTCAGTAGATAGTTAGTCTTCCCAGGCCTAGGGCTCCTGCCCTCTTGACAGCATAGGGACTCAGCTGTCATCCCTTATCTCTAGTCATGGGCTGGCCAGGAAGTTCTTAAGCTTTATGCACATTATCCATTACAGAAGGAATGGTGCACTTGCTCAGCAACAGCACTGGCTGGCAGACAGTGGCAGGACGCCCACACTTGGATTTTTGTTTTCTTTATTAGAGGTACTGGGGTTTGAACTCAGGACTTTGTGCTTGCTAGGCAGACACTCTACTGCTTGAGTCAGACCCCCTCAGTTCTCACACTTGGGTTCTAACTGGTCAGGGAACAGGTCTGTCAGTAGCAGCATCTCTCTTAGACCATTTCAGAACACTGAACAACAGAGATGGGGCCTGTGCTCTTCAACCGGCAGTACCACTGCATGGACCTTTCCATGGCTCATGGAAGCCCCTATTGCCCTCCAGCCTCTGGATGTGGACACACCTTTGGGTAGTTGGTACCCAGCTCATCAATGGCACAGAACTGGATTAGTTTCTCGTAGATGCTGAAAAGAGAACAGCACAAGTAGTGAGCAGATGCTGGACTGGTCCCATGTTCCCGCATGGCACCAGAACCACCACAGCTCTTGGAGCTGAGACAGAGATGAAACCTTTAAGCCCAGCTCAATTGTTCCAAGAAAGCTTCTGGATGGGGGTCTTGACCATATTGCTTCTAGTTTTCCACCTTTCCCACAAGATGGACTATAGCTGGGGTCAAATTGGTGGGGGAGGTGCAACATAATGGTTGCATTCCTGTCTAATCCAGGTCTCTGATTTTCAGTCTGTGCTCACCACATTTGGGTCCATGCAAAGGCCAGGGCAGGTCCTTGCTGCTACATACTACGTTCTTTTTTTGTTTGTTTGGTGGGACTGGGGTTGAACTCAGGGCTTTGCACTGAGGTGCTCCCAAAGTAGGCACTCTACTGCTTGACGCACACCTCCAGTCCATTTTGGTCTGGTAATCTTGGAGGTGGGGACTCAAGAACTATTTGCCCAGGCTGTTCTGGAATTGCAATCCTCACAATCTCAGCCTCCCAAGTATTTAGGATTGCAGGAGTAAGCCACTGGTGCCTGGCTCACACTACATTCTTTCCTGGGTCTCACTAACTTGAGCATTAGATGGAGTAAGACCCAACACAGCTCTGTCCCTAAAACCTCTCACTTAGATACAAAATCAACTTTTTCAAGTTGGAAGAACAATCTATAGTCATCATCTAGTGGAACTCCCTCCTGGTACAGATGAGGAAATCAACGTCCCTGTAGACTCATGGAAAACTTACCTGGGGTTACGAAATTCTTTCTTTCTTTGAATTATGTAGTTCATATCCATTCCTTCCTTTATCTTTCGCTCATAAAGCTTCTGGATCTTGTCCTATAAAGGGTAACAGAAGGGTGTGTAAGACAGAAGTTTATCCACTCACAATGCAGTCTGTGGCATGTACATAGAATGCCCTGTTCCTCCTTCCACCCAGACTTTGATGACAGCTACATGCAGGTAAGATAAGCTAAGACCTGTCTGTTTTTTCCTGCCATTCTTTGAATGGTCAGTACAGTGAGTAGGAAAAAGATGAAGGTAGAGAAGACAAAAAACGAATCTCCAATTGTTTATCAGCTCCCAAATCACATGAAGAGCTCAAGGTAGTAAAGTGAATGTGCAGAGGCTGGATGCTGGTTTTAAACTTCAGCATGAGGTAAATCCTTAGCAGAACAGTGAGTCACAAGAGACCTGGAAGGGCTGTGTCATTTTGGAAAAAGGCACTAGACATTCCAAGAATGTCTTTTTTTTTTTTTTTTTTGTGGTGCTGGGGATGTAGTTAGAGCCTCATGCAGGCTAGGCACATGCTCTAACACTGAGCTACACACCCAGCCTAACCTCTTTTGTGAGATAGCTCAGAAGACAGCTAGTTCAATCCAGTTTATCAAGGGTCATAAGCTTTATCTTTCACCAAAACTTTCCCCACAGACCTCTGACCTGGCTTTTGATGGGAAACAAGAGAAACCACCTGCCCAGGACTTAGGCTCACTTACTGTGGCCAGTGACACAGGTGTCCTCAGGAAGGGGGGTCCTTCCTGGCTCACTGAGTTGATGGCTGTGGCAGATGTTATCAGTACCTCTTAGTGCCAGTGAGAGACACAGACATCTCATCTCAGGACAGAGTAACCTCTGAGAGCAGTCTCACCAAGAAGGGGGGTGGTAGTCCAATTCAGGATCTACCTGCAGCATACCTCTAGTGGCAGTTAAATATACACACTCTCCAGAAGGAAAATATTTGGGGCACACTTCCCCTGCAGGTGAAGGGCCAGCTGGAGGTAGGCAGGGCTGAATATCCTATGCGATAATCCCTAGGACACATCAGGAGAGGTGATCCTCTCCCCTAAGCCAGGGCTGAGGAAGAACTAAGGGTCTGTTAATATACTTAACTACCAGGGAAGAGAGAAGCTGAGAGTGAGGCCTCTTACAGGAGGCTCAGCAACTTGAAGTGAACTGGTATCTTACAGCTGACTTGGCTGGGTCTCCAGGGCCATCAGATTGGTTCTGCTATTTGTTTGTTCAAATGTCATGGTTTCTACCTCTAGAAGGATCTAAGGAGAAGGAATATTCTGAACTCAAGTAGTTAGTAGATGGTTGTCTGCACTAGGCAGGTGTCTGGAGTTGTCCTTATAGGCTGGAACTTGTTGTCTGGTATGAAGGGTGGTAAGATTCTAGGGCACAGTGGCGGGCAGGGGAAGGAGGAGAGACAACTCAGCAAAAGGGGGAGACTTCTGGGAGATAAAGAGAATCTGTGCTATGCCCCCACCCCTGACTATAGTCCTCCCCATGGCCTTCCATGTTCCTCAGTCCTGGGCCCTATTAGTTACCCATCCATTCATGGCTTGCTGGATAGCTAGAGGCAATTAGCAGAAGCTGTTGGAGCAAAGGCAGAGCAGGTGGGACTGTGTCCATGATTGTGTAGCTGTGGGCATCTGCCCCATTGTTAGTCACGAGGTCCAATTCATTAGGGAACCATAGAAGGACAAGGAGAAACAGCTATAGAGGGTGAAATCCTAGCTGTCCTGCTCCTTAGAGAACAACTACATAAATGAATAGCTTCTCAATTCCTTAGAGTTGCAAAACCTCAGATCAGTTCTGTAAAGCAAGAAGTATCTAAATTACCATGCCAAGAATACAAGGGTAAGAATTTTATGTATATAAAATGCTGTGTTTTTGCACATCTCTGATATTTACAATCTGATGACTTCTCTGTTGCCTCTGAGAAGTTCCACTGATCAGCTGAGTTGCAGAGACAGGCATGTTATTTACTCTGTTTAGGCTTGGGACCTCACTGAAGGCAGGCTGGGAGGCCCATGAGGGCAGCACCAAATGACGTGGCAGGTGTGGCAGTGGGTATCAATTCCTGAGATTTGGCTAATGGGAGGTAACCAGGACTGCAGGCTCCTGTCCACCTGGTAGTTTCTTTGATAGAAGCTTTGGTCCCTTTTCCCTGCCATAGCACATTAAGGTCATTACCCAACCAGGCACCAATAACTTAGTTACATGGGCCTCAGCAGACAGGCCTTGTGCTTACTTGTAAGTGATTTGAACATCTGCCAGGGGGCTCCGGTGGGATCTTGATTTCATCAGGTGACATGTTCCGGACCTTTTCTGAAAAGGAGGCTGTTGAGAGAACAGAGGGAAGAATGCTATAGGTTGGGGTTAGAATAGTGGACACAACTAGGTGCTGGTGGCTCATGCTTGTAATCCTAGCTACTTGGGAGGCTGAGATCAGGAGGATCATGGTTTGAGGCCAGCCTGGGCAAATACTTTGTGAGACTCCATCTCTAAATTAAGCAAAGCAAGATGGATTGGAAGTGTGGCTCGAGTGGCAGAATACCTGGCTTGCAAGTGTGAAGGCCTGAATACAAGCCCCAGTCCTGTCAAACCAAAACAAAAACCCACAAACAAATAAAACATTTCCAGTGCCAGACATAGTGGCTTGTTCCTATAATCCTAGCTACTCAGGAGGGGGAGATCAGGAGGTTTATGATTTGAGGTCAGCCAGGGGGAAAAGTAAGTGAAACCCCATTTCAGCCAATAAAAGCTGGACATGAACTACATGATCCTATTTAAAAAAAAAAAAAAAACTAAAGAAGCTGGGCACCAGTGGCTCATGACTATAACTGTAGCTACTTGGGAGGCAGAGATCAGGAGGATCATAGTTCGAGGCCAGCCCAAGCAACAAAAATGAGATTCTATCTCAAAAATACTCAACAAAAAGGGCTGTGTGAGGAGTGGCTCAAGTGGTAGAGCATCTGCTTAGCAAGTGCGAGGCCTTGAATTCAAACCCCAGTACCGCAAAACAAACCAGCCAACCAACAAACCAAACAAACTAAAGCAAAAAAGGACTGGGAATATGGCAGCTCAAGCAGTAGAGCACCTGGCAAGCAAATGTGACACTAAATTCTCAAAGCCTGGCACCTCCAAAAAACAAAATAAATGCTCCCCACATTGCAGGGAGAGGTAAGTGCTGTGGTGGCCTCTTGGAGACAGCATCATCTGAGTTGAGAGGAAATGATTAAAGGAGCCGTGTGTCAACCTGGAAGAGAAGTTTAGCTAGAGAGTACAGATGTAAATGACACATGCTACAAAGTCCCAGTGATTTATATATATAGATAGATATATCTCTTTTTTGGCAGTACTGGGGTTTGAACTCAGGACTTCGTGCTTGAGAAGCAGTTGCTCTACCACTTGAGCCACACCTCCAGTCCATTTTGTTCTGGTTATTTTGGAGATGGGGTCTCAAGTGTGTCCAGTGATGACATTTCCAGGGAAATGTCAAACAACTAGCTGGGGCCGGGGAAGATGAGGAGCCATGGTGTGTAGCACTTGCCCATTTCTCTGGAGTAAATTCTCCTATCCTGGTCAATTTCAAGCTACTAATGTGAAGTCACTGAACCCAGGACTGGGAAGAGACATGCATAAGTAGTGTAAGTCAGCTCCAGCATCCCATGTAGTCCTTAAAACACCTCTTCCAGAAATCAGGTGCTCAGTGTCACCCTTCTTGTCTTGGGCTGACTTGCCTACACTATAGGAGAAAGTATGTTCAGGGTTCCCTATGTTTGGGTCCCAAATCATCACAAACTGCTTGTGATAAAGACATTTAAAAATTACCTGTTGGCTATTAATTCAGGGTCTTTCCAAAATAAACCAATCAATCCTTTCTTGGCCTACCTCATTTTTGGGAACAAAAGGACTGATTCTGATGAAAAGAACCACAACTCCCAAGGGACAATTCCCTCAGAGATTTGAGTGAAGGCCCACTCAAGCCTTCACCCTGCAGCCTCTGGCCTTGGTGATTGCAGAGTCCTGCTCTGGCTAACTCAGACAATGTGTTGTTTGTTGTAAGATTCTGTATGTGCTCTCTGAAATATTCTCTCATGAAAAGGACCATACAGTAAGCAAATAGTGGGTGGAACAGGGTGGGGTAGAAGAAAGAATGAACAAATCACCACCAGTAACATCCAGCAAGGGACCTACTTGTATGTTAGGTTCTGGGATAACCCCACAGAGAAGCTCCCCAGGGCCGACTGGCTGCATGGATGGCAGAAGCTGGTCTCCCACCACAAGGCTGGACTTTTGTTTTGAGTCAAGGTCTCATGTCATCCTCTTCTGCAGCTGGGACTGCAAGTGTGCGCCACTGCACTTGGCTCGGGTTAATGTTTTTTTAGCATACAGGGTGCTGTGACCTCTTGCTTAGTTTCACTATTAATGTGGCAAGCACAGTGCTGAGCAAGGCTGGGGATAAGGCCCCTAAAACTTCACCAGTTCAGCTGCTGTGGTGCCAACTTGTGCACACTGAAAACACATTGAGGCCCAGGGTCAAGCCCAGGGCAGTCTTAAAACATGACTATATGTGCTGGTTTTCGCTGCCATCAGTGGATTCCTGCTGGATGCACTCCAAGGACAGAGCACTGGCCTGCCATTTAGAGGGAGGGAAAGGGAACAGAGACTGGGTGACATTCAAATCAAAGGACCTGCTGTGGGCCACAGATGCCACTGCAGCCTGAGAGCCGTTCCCAGCAGGGGACTACATGCTTCTCTTTGCCCACTACCTTCCAGAGTCTCCTGACTCTTCAAGCAAAGGCACTACCCAATTCTGGCTAGACTTCAAGTCTCATCTTGATTTCCCCTTTTTTCCTCTTGCCCTGAGATGAGCAGAAGTTCTAGAGCAGAGCTCAAACAGACTGCAGAGGCAAAAGTGGAAACAGTTGGGAAGAACTGGTCCTGGTTATTTCATGAACACTAGCAACAAAAGCAAGGAGGTTTGGCAGACACTGGGCACATAAACAAGGAGAGTTAAGTTCTTTCCTGGGCTGACACTATGTGCGCATGTGACAGGGAGACAAAGAGTACCCTTTGGCATTTGCTAGGAAAGCTTTTCAGACAAACAGGGTGTGGCACCATTGCCATAGCAACCGTGCCAGCCTCTGGGGTGTAAAAGGCAAATAGCATGACAGAAGGGAAGCCCCTCAGAGCGCTAAGCTATAAACAAGAGAATTCCTGGGAAGTGACTGACAATAAAGGGACACATTTAGGAAAACAAGATAAAAGTTTATTGCACAGATTTCAGGAGTAATTTTCAATGATTCTCTTTCCTAAGTCACAGAATAAATCAAACATAAGAGAAAAATCAGTCCTATGTAATCTCTCTCAGAGCAGCAAAAGCCTCAAACCATCTTTGCAGGAAATACATTGGGCAATGAGGCTACAGACACTAAGGGGCTGCTGCCTGGGTCTGTTGGGGCGGTACAGGAAGGTGGCTGCACTTAAGATCTGAAAAGCCAACAGTCAGCATGAATCATGACAGAAAACATCCACAGTATCCATAGCTGTCAGGTAGGAATCTAAGCAGAGCAGCTAGTCCTATGGGCTTATGGGATGGTGCAAAGTAAGCTAGACTAGGGGGCCTGAGAATGCCTACAGGGTGCTGAGGGGGCTGTAAGCAGGAGGCAGTAGGATACTTTCAGCTTATGAGTGACATAGAGAACCCAGCTGGACTGCCATACTAGCACCACTGACCCAGACACCCTGTGGGGCATCGGTGAGGCTCCTGGAGGGCCTGGACAGTTCTATCAAGAGCTATAATCTGGGAGATGCAATGAGTTGGCTTCTCAGCAATCTTACTTGCTCTTTTAAAGGCGGGGCTATCTACTTATATGGACATGTTATCCATACTAGGTGAGCAATCTGAGCTCTGACACCAGACCAGAGGAGTTATCTAACAAAACGAGGCAAGTTCAGGCAGAGGGGCTAACAAGCAGGGCATCAAAAATGGAAGCCACTCTGTACTAAGCTAATGATATCCTCAACAAGAGGAGCTGACCTGCTTACATTTTTTTTTTTTTTTTTGGTTTGAACTCAGGGCCTCATGCTTGCTAGGCAGGTGCTCTACCACTTGAGCCACTCTGCCAGCCTTTTTCTGTGTTGGGTATTTTTGAGAGAGGGTCTGGTGAACTATTTGCCACGAGATCCTCCAGATCTCTGCCTTCTGAGTAGCTAGGATTATAGCTATAAGCCTCTGGTACCTGGCTTGCCTACTTCTCAATGAGAAACCTAAGAGGGTTCAAAATCATGCGGCTTAAAGATGCACTTGTGCTCCCTGTGGGTGAGTGAATAAACAAACTCTCTGGTGTATCCTATAATGAGATACTCCTTAGCAATGAGAGAGGGAATTAGGGAGAGAGAGGAAGAGAGAGGGAGAGAGGGAGAGAAGGAGAGGGAGAGAGGGAGAGAGGAAGAGGGAGAGGGGGAGGGGGAGAGGGAGAGGGGGAGGGGGAGAGGGAGAGGGGGAGAGGGAGAGAAAGAAAGAAAAGAAATGAGCTGGGCAAGTGATGCACGCCTATAATCTCAACTACATGGGAGGTGGAGGCAGGAGAATATCAAAAACAAAATGAAAATCAGGGTTGTGGACAGAGTTGAAAAACAGTGCTTGCATAGCCATGCTTGAGGACCTGAGTTCAAGCTCCAGTACCATAAAAAACAAACAAAAGCAAAACAAACAATGCTCAAAAACATGGTTGAAATCTCTAAAACATCATGCCAAGTAAAGGAAGCCAGAAGGAAAACTATGATTCCATTTGTACCAGGGGTTTTCAACTGAGGGTGATTTTACCCTCCTTAAGGGGACACTTGGAAATGGTTGAGATGTGTTTTATTATTATATCTGAGGGAAGAGAGAATTGCTCTACTGGGTAGAGACTAACTCTGTTGCTAAACATACTATAATGCACAGATGTCCCACATAACAGGGAATGATTCACACCAAAGTGTCAATAGATCCTGATTTATATGAAATTCTAAAAAAGACAAACCTTTTATTTGCTTATTTATTTAGATGGCACTGGGGTTTGAACTCAGAGCTTTGTGCTCTACCACCTGAGCTACACCTCCAGTCCATTTTGCTGTGGTTATTTTGGAGATGGAATCTCACCAACTGTTTGCCTGGGCTGGCCTGGAACTGCAATTCTCCCAATCTCAGCCTCCCTAGCTAGGATTACAGGTGTGAGTCACTGGTGCCCAGCTTGGCAAACCTTCTATGGAGAGACTGTATTATCTTTTGCCTGAGGCAGAGGGAAGAATCTATCTGCAAGGCAGAGTGGAACACAAGGGAACATGTGGAGCGTGGATGTCTTATGTTTCATGATCGTGGTGGGCTAACACAACTATACACATCCGCCAAAACTCATCAAACGGCACGCTCAAAATCAGCCAATCTTGCTCTGCAAATTGTAACTCAATAAAGCGATTTTTAAAAAGCGGCTCAGAGAGAAGAAAGAGTGGCAAGTTGGCTGTGGAAGAGTCAGGGGCTGAGCCGACTGATGCCCATATACATTCCACCATTTGCCCGACAATGCTAGTGAGGGCAGAGGGCATCACCATGTTGGCTCATGGACAGGCTGCTCTCTGAATGCCCTCTCAGCCTGTTTGAGAATTCAGAGATCAAGGCAGAATCGTGCTAAGGGTCTGGGCTACCCAGAGTTATCATTTTCCTACCCAATTTGTTCTAAGAAGAGAAACAGAATAATTTCTAGCTTTTTAGAAAGGGAAACCAGAATGGGATCCCACTTTTCATCCCCTAGCAAAAGGGTCCTACGTGGAGAAAGGACAGGTGGGAGAGATTTTGGAGGAGCCCTTCCAGGCCAAGTCCTTGGACTCTGAACTTTCAGGACTGGAATGAGTAATCACTGAATGTCAATATGGATGCACAGGGGTAGGCTCTGTGGGAGTCCTTCGGAAGCAGAGCCAAAGCAAACAGGAACCTCTTTCTAAAGGTCGGAATAAGCCAATGCCAGTGGCTCACACGTGTAATCCTAGCTACTTGAGAGGCTGAGATTGGGAGGACTGCAGTTTGAGGCTAGTCAGGGCAAACAGTTTATGACAGCTCATTTCAAAAATAACCAGAGAAAAATGGACTGAAGGTGTGGCTCAAGTGGTAGATGGTCTGCTTTGCAAAATATGAAGCCCTGAGTTCAAACCCCAGTCCTACCAAAGGAAAGAAAAAAGGGGGGTGGGGGTGGGGAACATCCAGGGAGAACAGATAATGGCTGGCGTGGGCGTGGGGAGGGGCTGGGCTGGCTGACTTGGTTGAGAGGTCTGGATTCACTGGAAACATCCCCTGGTCAGGCTTTTGGAGCTGTTACAAAGTCCATGGCTAAACTAAAAAGGGGCATTTTAAAAGGATTAAGAGGCTGGGGTTGGAACAGGTCATAGATGAATATGCGGTTTTCCAGAAATGGCTCTGTCCCTCCTAAGACATCGAGGGCCCCAGATGCCAAGGCTGTGAGGAAAAAGCAAAAAGCGCCAGAAGAGGCCACATGCTGACTCCCTGAGCAACATGAATATGCTAGTGGAGGGGGAGGAAGGGTACAAAGGCAAAGGACTGGACCAGAACACAAGCAGAAGCAAAGACCAAGATAAGCTTCCTATTAAGGAGACTCTGAACTTCCTCTTGACAACACTGGCAACTGACCAAAGCCCAATAAAATGCATCATGAATGAGATTTTCAAAGGAGAAATGTTGCCTGGGAGGGTCTCACACAGTCACCCTAGGAAATGCCAAAGGTCCTGAGAGGGGGTATGAAGGATGGTTACTCACAGCAGAAAGACAGTCCAAGGAGCAGAGGCCTGGCATGGCCACAAGCCAACCTGCTCAAGTCAAGGCTCAGAAGTATGCCTCCAGGCCTCCCCAGGGTACTTACCAACTAATTCCTGGGGATCTCTCTTCTCTACTTCTGTATTATCCTGCAAAAGAAATACAAAGAGGTGAGATCTGGCTCTTGAATCATAGTTACTCTCTACACTGAGACACCTGTGTCTTTTATAGAAGAAAAGTGCTTCCAGCACATTGATAGTGAAGTGTTTTAAGGGCCTCTGGGACTCTAGAGATTCTTACCCTTTTTCTCCCTCATCCCAGCAGTCAGCATGCTCTGGAGCCCCATGTCAGTCCCAGCAGGGACAGTATGGACCCATAGTGAGGAGAGCCCATGCCTGGCCACTTGTACAACCTATACCCTGCTGCTGCTCCCACTGGGTCAGGAAAGTTTATCTTAATGTGGTGGAACTTAAGGCCTCAGTCACCTCTTCCTCCACAGCCTGGCTAGTATCCTAGAATACTACTACCTTGACTGCTGGCACTGAGGACTGCTTGTAATGGGACCCCTTTATAACACCTGACTCCTAAGACTAGCTGTTCACAGACCTTACTAGGTGTAAGGAAAAAAAAAAAAGGTGGCGGGGAAGAGATTTTATTATAAGGATAAAGTGGCTTTATATTGTTCTTAAAGCATAGCTTTTCCCAAGAAACCTGCATAAAAAGGCTTCGTACCAGATGTCTTATTTCATTGCTCCACAGTAAATGCTTCTTCTAAACCAAATGAACACTGAGAAGGCAACAGCCTAAGCCCCAGGTTATAAGCTTCTGGCACAGCAGAGAGGAACGCCTGCTGTAAAGTGGCAAGAACACACTTGTTTCCCTCAAACCTAGTAAGATCAGGAATCTCAAGAGTCACTACAAACTAACTATCAAAAGGCAAAAGAGAGTTCACTGAAAGGCTTCAGATCTCATTTCCTTTCCCTTTGCTTAGTGAGGGAGAAGATAAGACAGTAACAACCTGCAATAAGATCTTTACTCAAAAGCAGCCACAGAGCTTGGACAGAACTTGCATGAGGAAATGCTACACCAGACTACGTCTCAGAAGGGAAGGTGTGTGGAGGGTTACCAAATTCCCTCCCAAGCTATGACCTCATGCCAAAACCAGACCCCCTTCCCCCAAAAGTCACTCCTGATTCTGGGCAGGCCAAAATCCCTCCTCTTCTGAACACTGCAGCTATTCATTCAAACTGCTGGGGCTCAGTGTTGAAGCCAGGCTGCTTAGCAACCTGTCCCTCCTAGTCACCCACCCCCTGTCAATCAGGTGGGTGAAGAGGCGGCTCAGACTGGGATGCAGCAGAGAAGGGCTGGGAGGCAGGCCTGGAGGACTGCCATGTCAAGTTCAGGATGGAGTCATAAATCAACTACTACAGAGACAGCGCCAGTCTCTCAGGGGACCAAAACCAATCCCTTTGTAGTAGTGACTCTGGAGAATCCAATGTTAAAGAGTGTGTCAGTAACAAAATGTGGGACTGTAAAATTTCCTTATACTTTCCCTCTGGGGGACAGCTTTCTGGATACTAATTGTGGGAAAACATCAGTTATGTACGTCATGTCTTCCCCAGTCAGTTGGCTGGTCATACAGGAGACTGGTCTGTGAACTCTAAGGGGTCCACACTTACTCTTTCCCAAGGCCCTGTCCCTGCCAACCCACCTTCATGGGTAGAAATGCAGAACTGCAGGATGCCTGATATCCACTGGCATTCTAATCCAGTGTCTATCCCAGTGACAGGACTACACGTCATCTCTTCAAAGGAAAAAAACCTGTTACTTCAGGGGCTCCCTGGCTAGAGTAAGAAGCTAGGAGCTTCCCTGTGACTTCTTGTAGCTTTTGTGACCTATGGAAGAGGATAGAGTACATGTGGTGATGAGGTAGTAGATTTCACAAGGTCCCCGCAGGCTTAGCTGAGGTTATTAGTCATGTTTCTGGAAGAAAAGATATGATGGATCCAAAAAAAATCACAGACAGGAAGTATATTTTTCTCTTCTTCAACTCTTTCAGTGTATTGCTTAGCTCCCAGTCTCCCCATATTAATAATTCTACACATTTTTTTTATTAAAAAAGAAAGAAATAAAGAAAAAAGCCAGGCAGAGTGGTACATACCTATAATTCCAGCTACTTAGGAGGTAGGATCATGGTTCAAGGCCAGTCCAGGTAAAGTTAGACAAGACCCTATCTGAAAAAATTAATTAAAAGCAAATATCTTGGGGACATGATTCAAGCTTGAGGCCTTAAGTTCAATCTCCAGTGCAGAAGGAAAAAAAAAAAAGATAAACTGGGCAATTGGTTTTAATTTGCCAACTAGTCTTTGGTTTTCTACCCTGTTGGTACAAAAACAGTGGAGGGATTCCCCAGAGCTGAGGTGCCAGGACTCATTCTCAATTCAGATTCTTCCACAGCCAAAAAACAGGCCTACCTAACTTGCTACAGTGGAGCCTGGCTCTGTGTGCCCATCAAATTTTGGTGCCCCCAAGTGAGGTGATGACCAGAGAAGAGACTCTTCTGTCCTAAGAGGATTCCGCAAGTGAGATGTGTAACAAGCCTGCATAGCCTGGAAGCCATACAAAGCAGTGAGCTTCAGGAAGGGGCCAGAAACACTGTCCTCGGTTGTTCTAGGAAGACTTTGGGATATCCAGCAGTGGGAATCTGTGGTTCTTGTTGGTCAAATGCCATGTTTTAGAAGGCAATTCTTTTGCCCTGAGACCAACAAGCTGGGTGTGGGCCTTCTGAACTCCCAAGTGTCTGTGTCACTGCACTGAGATGCTCCTGAAGACAAATTCTTCTGGCTCCTAAGGTGCCAACTCTGGATCCACACCTGCCCTGGGTTTGAGAAGTGAGGGCCCAGAGCCACAGCATTACCTGCTCGGCAACGGAAACAGGTCCAGACTTCAATAGCTCAGCAGGAAGTGGAATCATTGAGGATGGTGACAAAAAACCCCAAAGATGTTTTTCAGAAAGCTGAGGGTGTAGTTCAGTAGTAGAACACTTGCCTACCATATGGAAGATCCTGGGTTTGACCCCCAGCACTGTGAAAACAAACAAATGAATAATCCCCCAAACCCACAGAGGCTTTCAGAACCATTTACACCCAATTATCCACTAAAACAAGCTTCATCCAATGAAAGCAGCCTCTCTTCTGATGGTAGCAACATGACTCCATAAGGATATCATCTACCAGTGGCAGGGAGGACAGATCTGGGAGGGAGGCTGTGTCACACTGAAAAACAAAGACCCAGAAATACATTCCATCAAGTCATGCCAGATACCCAGCATCCACAATAGGTATAGCATCAGAAAATACAGGTGTTGAAGCATTGTAAATGGCAGAGCAAAGGGAAAGAAAGGTTTCATATCATTAAACTGCCAGCAGTGCTATAATGACTGCTCTAGGAGAGAGGCAGGAAGGGGAAGGGGGAACAATGAGGACATAAGTAAGAAGAACAAGAAACCACTGTTCCTTATCCCTTCCTCCAAAGCCATGTTTTGAAATGTTCAGGGGATACCTGCCTGAACTTGTACAGATTCATCCCTCTGGCTTCTAGTTGGCCAAAATAATGAACTCAGCCTGGAGATCTATTTATCAGACAGTTGGCTGCCTCAGGTAGGAGGCATGGAACCCATAGCCCAGAGACAAGAAGGCCCTCAGGCAAGAGGCTGAGGGAGTCTCAGCCAGTCTAGGAGGAAGAAAAAAAAAAAAAAAAAAGAAGAAAGAAAGCAACTTCTAGAAGAAAAGAAGTTCTCTTTAGAACCATAGTTCAAGTCTGATTAAGACACACAGAAAAACAAAACAAAGTCGAAATTCACAGCTTTCCAACAGAGAGATGAGAGAAGACAAAGAAGGGAGGAAAGAATGACTAGGAATGACATGCTGAAAAAGGACTCATCTCTGACTGTACCCTTTCCCTCCACAGACTTCACTTGAGACTGAAGTCCTAACAGCTAGAACATGAGGTAGCAGCAGCAGGCTGGAGAGCAGCGCTGTTAATCTGTTGGTTTCTTCATCAATTATGAACAAGACCTGTAAGAAAGTACTAGCCACCTGTAGGTCAGTGGCAGGGGCCCTCCTGTTTTTAGGAATTACAGAACCTGGAATGTGGCTCTCCAGCAGAATACAAAAAGCCCAGTTACTGACAGAAGCTTACTGGGACACAGAAAGGAGGTAAGAACAATATGGATCCATGAAGCTGGAGAAGATGCTTTTGAGCTGGGAGGATTTACTCAGCAGAAAAGCTGCAGGTCCTGAGGGACAGTAGGGAGGTTTATTTACAGCCAATAATGCTTCATCTATCCTTCCAGGAACCAGCCCCATATTCTGGTAGCTAGGGAGGCTGACTGGTAGCATAATACAAACCAATCTTCTATTCTCACACCTGTGACAGGCCACATAGTCATGAACTCCTAATTCTATATCACTTAATGAGCAGAGTCTACTTAAAAGTGAATCTTTACCATGGTCCCGTGGCCCTACTCACCATTCTAGCCCTCTTCCCTCTCCCCACCAGGCCTTTGTAATGCTTGTTCCCTGCTCAATCTTGCCTAGTAAGCTCTATGGAGACCTAGACCTCAGCTTGAGTAAATTTCCCACCCACCCAGTGAGGACATGCTGCCCTTTGCTGTACCTTCACAAACTGAATTTCCAGCCTGGCAAAGTCAGTTTGTTTGAAACAGGATCTCGCTATTCAGGTTGGACTTGAATTTTTGATCCTCCTGCCTTTGCCTCCCAGGAATGCTCCTAATGTCCCAGACATGCACCCCCCACACCTGGCCCTATGTCCTCTTTCTAACCACTGGTTCTAATGCTCCTAATTCCTGAAGGAGGTGGGGAGTATTAACTGGGTGTGGTGGTGCTTCCCTATAGTCCTAACTACTATGGAGCTAAAGCTTGAGCCTAGACAAGTTCAAGAATAGCCTGGGCAACATAGCAAAATGCTGCCTCAAAAAAAAAAAAATCCCATTAAGTAACAATAAAAGAAAGAATTACTGCATAGTTAGTTCATTTATCCCATGAATAATTTATCGAGCATTATGTTTCAGACAATATGTCAAGCACTGGGCATAAAATATGAAAAGTCAATCCAGGGGCATAATTTTAGGTATCTAAGCTCCTCAATTAACGGTCTAATTTGATTTCCACAACTGCCCCAAGAAAATCAATACTGTTGCTCCCTCTTGGGAGCATCAAAGTGACAGCTAAAACAATGTTTTCTAAAATGGATATGAGTCGTTTCAAGTCACCAAGAAGGCAGCAATTCTGAATTAGTTTTGCCAAAATATCTTCCCTAACTCCAGAATGAAATGATGTTGGTTTGACAGTGGTCACCATGGCTGGAGGTGTGGAGAGAGCTCTCAGCACCCCCAAGGCTCAGCGAAATCATGGGATACAAAGCTGTGTGGAACCATCGCCTTTGTGGTACAGATGCCAGCCCTGGAGAAAGCCTGTCACCAACACATTTCCTTCAGTTGTATCCTGTGGGCCAGGACTGAGCCCCTTCACGGTGCATTGCCTGCCCAGTGATGGAAACACTGCACTTATCAGAAAAATGGGAGGAAGTTGGTGGGGCTGCTATGGATGCACTGGAGTTGCCTTGGCTCCCAAACGGTATTCAGACAGGAAGGCTCAGCTCTCCAATCACAGCCAGAGGTTTCTACAGGAAGGGTTAAACAGGAGTCTGCCAAGACAAATTAAGCCAGCTCAAGCATGGCCTTGTCGACTGAATAAAAAGCAGGGAGGGGGAAAGGAAATGGCCTCTCTCTTTATTGAAAAATCTAGCAAAACAAAGCCAGTATGGCTCAGCAAAGCTGTCAATGTTCTGCCCCCTGAAACATGTTGTAACCAACCAGACTTCAACATGAATGCAAAAGTTTGGCCAGTAATCATTTCCAAAGGGAAGATTTTTGTTATCTGACTATTTCAAGTGTTATCTACATTTGATCCAAGGAGACAGCTCTGTGAGTCTGAGAATGGTCAAGTGAAGGCTGTGAGACACAACTCTGTATGATGATCGAAACACAAAAGGATTATTCCACCTGAGAGGTCAAAATCAGCTAAAGTGCTAGATTAAGACGGGGCAAATATGTCAAAGATACCTGGAAGCCAGGAGGAAGAAATGGAAAATGGTCACCACACTGGCATGAAGTGGAATTCATTATCTTGGGGGCCAGAAGCAAGGTATCTTTAAGGCATGGTTGGGGAAAATTTACCTAACTTCAAGTTAGAAATACAAATGAACCAACCCTCACTGAACCCAGAAATCATACAGCAGCACTTAAGGGACATGGATTCCCACGCAGATGAAGGTGGGAAGTGCTAGATTTCTAAGGACAGGCAGTTTTCTGCACCATATAATTTCAAAGAGATGAGTCCCAGCTGGAAAAGGAGGGGCCCAGCCACACCTCAGTTAGCAATCCATGGCATCTGGCCCCAAAGGGAAGGAGGTATGTTGGGGCTTGCATGGCTGATAGGAGAGCAGTCCAGGCAGACAGTGGCTCCTTCCTGGCCACAGAACCATGGAGTGGGGTGGAGCTTCTGAGAGTCTCAGTGTGTGTTTACTTGGAGCAAAAGCAGTTAAGAAGGCCCCTCTGGCAGTATGAAGCCAAGAAGAGGGCTAAGAGAGAGAATAATGGCCATTCTCCCCCTTTGCATGAGAACACAACTTTAGCAATCACCAGTGCTTCTACCAACCAAGCATCTGGCTTGGATATTTTTTACTCTGGAAAACTGGGGAGTGACTTCCATGGTCTGCCCTCTATCTCTGTTCTTTCTGCTGCTCAGATAGGGTTACCACCCAGGCAGACCCTCAAACCCTAGCCTAGGGTAGTTTCTTCTGAGCATGTCCACTCTACAAGCTTCCAGAAATTCCATGTGAAAAAAGCCCTAGTGTGGCAGAGGACAAGTCTAAAGAAGGCCATTCACTGTGCTGAGATCAGGAATGCCAGATGCTAGGTAGGCCTGGGCATTCTCAACAGTTCAAAGGTTACATTACAATTTCCAGTGAGAAGAATGGATAGCTCACAAAACAGCAATGGTCAAGGGCCATTTCCTCCTCTAGTCCTAGGTGAGTCATGCTGTAACTTTTTTCGCTAGTTAGCACTCAAAGGATCATGGGGACATGTGGAAAACAAAAACCAAGATAAAGGGCAATAAGCATATACTCTTTCTCTCATACAGCCTTCTTCTCGCACCCTAAATGTTAATGCACTAAAAGTTAACATTTATTATTCAAATCTCACAACTCTATAAGGCAGATAGTATTATTTCCATTTTGCAGATGGATAAACTGAAGTAAAGTACAATGAAGAAGGTTACCTAGTAAACAGTAATGTTAAAACTCAAATTCAAGTCTGTTTAACTCTAAAGCCCAGTTATATGACTTCCCAATTTCTCACCTCCTACCTTGAGACAAGAGGTTGCAAATAGTAATGGTTTCTATGAAGTCACTGGCTAAAACATGGAGTAAGCCAACATCAAAGAAAAGGGAGGAAAAACACTCTCCAGGAATGACTCTCTAATAGGTAATGGAGTGAACAGGTGTTAAACCCTTGACTTAAGGGGAACAATGACAGATTTATTATCTTCCAGCTAGGAGGATCAGGGGAAACTGCTCTGGAGTCCATAGTGCCCCAGTGAGTAATGAATGTCTAAGTAGACTAGAAACCCTGTCTTCAGCCTAGAGACTTCCTGGGGATTCACAAAGAGAAGTCGCCAAATCCTGAAGCATACTTAAGCTCTCTTCTCTTCAGTGAACAACCATGTGGACTTCCAATGACAGCTAGAGTTTCCCAGGATGAATTATTTCTTCTGACCAGACCTGAGTAAGGAACATGGCAAGCTTCCCATCCAACAGAAAATCTCACTGGAGATAAGCTGCATACATAGCATTTAAGTCAATAACAACTACAAAAATACATTTCTGGGAACTGATGTAGAAAAGTGTGATGCTAATGCTGGTGTCATCACCAGAACAAAAGCTGGAAGATCTCAACAGTGTATGTCTCTTTAAAAATAAAAATCGTGGACAAGTGGAAT